TGATCGAAACCTAAATCCCAAGCTTCGCGGAACGTCTTCATCAAGTTCTCCACGCGAATTCCTCTAAACACACCGATTCTACTATTAAAAACGCTCCGAATTTCAAAAATTTTTGAGTGATCCAGATCCCAAAAAACGTGATCAGGATAATAATTTCCAATTTTTATAATTTTCCGCAGGTCCTTTTTCTCACTTTTCCATGCACTGTTTGCCCGGGTGGACATTACTGCGACAGTACACCCCTCCCCTCACATCCCTACCCCGTCAACAACAAAAATCACCGCCAAAAGATGGCAAAATTGAAAACGTCGCAATAAAATACCGACAATTGAAAAGGGGACCGCATTTTCCAATGCGGCCTATTCACCCAAAATTATCATGATGAAGTCACCAATTTTTTTTTCAGCGGTCCAGGTTCGCCTAGTAATCGAATATAAAGTATCTTCCTGTTGTGTTTAATAAGGGTTCACATATTTTAACTAGGAGAGAAGTCAAAAAAGTTAGAAGATTCTTTTAAGAAAGTCGAAAATTTGGTATTTTCAAAATTATAAATTTTTCTATCTGAGATGAAATTTTTAACTGACATTTGTAAAATTTTTATGCTGAGAAATCGTTAAAACAATACACAACCACATCCAGGGACGTAGCGTAATACAGGCCCCGGGGCCCCCCCCGAAATCGGCCGGGGCCCGAAAATTTCATAGGGGGGGACCCTTATGATTTTTATTTTCTCAAAAATTTTGCTGCCTGCGGCGCTATTTTTTCACGTTTTTACGGCTATTTGTAGAGCTATGCAACCTTCTTTTCAAAAATTTTTGCCTGCGGCGCTGTTTTTTCGGCTATGTTTTGAGTTTTTTGGAAAAATTTTTTGGGGGCCCCCCCCCGAAATTTTTTTCTGGCTACGCCCCTGACCACATCCATCCGTCTAGCCATCCATCTAGGCTGATACGGAAAAAGGTTGTTGTGCCCGCGAATCCTAAAGAACCCAATTCTTTATTCCTAATTTTTTATTCTTTCGAAAGACTACGTTTCATTGGAAACAATTGTTTTCAAATATAATGAATATTAAAAGAAAACACAACATATAGTCATAATCACTTATAGCCCAACAAAAACCATGGCTATCAGCGCATATGGCCTCATCGCGTTTGCGTGCACGGTCGGCTTGGCGAGTGCCGGAATTCTGGACGCGTCCGTTCCAGGTTATGCATGGTTAGTAAAAATAAATAAAAATATTTAGGAACCACCACCGATTACGCCGATTTCTTCCGGAACCATTTCAGCTCTATCAAAGATCTGATCCCCGGCTCGCAATCTGTAAGTCAGTCAAAAACAAAACAAGTTTTTAAAGGCCAGCAAAAAAGGCATTTTCCAACGGAAAGTTAGAAAATAAACCTATCTAGGATCTGCTCACCAACGTCAATCGTGTCAAAGATCTCCTGACCGCCGTCAATTCCCAAAAGGGCGTAAGTGCATTCACAACATTTCAAACGACAATTCAGATGCTCGGCCCTCTGGTGGGTGAAGCCCAAAGGGGAACGCTGAATGGCATCGGTGGCCTGCTCCGTGATGTCGCCGGATTCGGCAATAAGGTTGGATAGCAGTGACTTAACTTAAATCCGTCATAAGAAACCACCGTAGAATTACATTAAACTAAATCCTATTTAGGTTGGCCGTGAGGGCGAGGGTCGCTTCAACCAGAACAAGAGCGCCTGGAACACACTCCTCGACAAAGTTTTCAATGTAAGTAAAGCCCCCACAAAAAGTCAGACGAAATTTCAGACTTCCGGACTGCTCAAGCTGCTCCCGCTGCTCACCAGAGCCTCGTCCACCGTCCCCGTCATCTCGGCCGTGCTCGCCCCGCTGGCTCTGCTCATTGCCCGTTTGTAAATAATTTTTTGGATCCATTTCACGTTTAGTACGCCTTTTATTTGATAAAGCCATGTGGAAACACCACAAAAAACAACGGGAAATATGATAACAATTGAGCAAACGACCTACAGACACTAACTAAGATGAGCTATTGGAAATATGGGACACGGGCGGGGCTTCGTCTACTGAGCAGTCGAAGACGTGGGACAGCCGGGCGGCGAGGAGCGGGATGACCTGGAAAAGGGTATTCAGGAAAAGGGAAAAAGGCTTACCATATCTGTACTGACATCACGGCCCGTTTCTCTAGAAAGGGATGTGGCCTCAGCGCCGTGGATACCGCATGCGACAATCTGTAATGACAGTTGTATTTTACAAACGAGAACCAAACACAAACCACCACCTTTTTGTCCTAGGATTCAATTTCTCAAATATAACTAGTGGAAGTGTTTCTAAGCCGTTTTTCACTATTCCTAAACGTAAAAAACTAAATCTTTACTAAATAATTGAAAATATCGATTTTTCGAGCAAAATTTCTACTTTTGAAACTGTTTAAATGTTTAGGCAGTTTTTCTAGTTGCAATCAAGCTTTATTTTATTAAAAAAGCTATAACACTTCTATTAAAAGGCCGTCCGCCAGTCACTCGAACTGTTCCCATTATGGCTTGGCACAGTTTTTTTCGACCCTATTTTTATGATGCCATCTGAAAGAGCCTGGCCGAATTAGTAGGGTGGCATAGTTTTGAAAGTTTTAAAAGTTAATTTTTGTGGTTTAAATGGGCGTTAAAGTTGCCGACCTCGAAAAACTATCTCGAAAACTTCTGAACCAAATTCGCTGAAAATTTGTGTCAATACCTAATTTGGCATGGGGATCATTTTTCTAATACATCGCAAAACTCAAAAATGACCGGAACATGGTTAAATTGCGTACTAAAAACAGTTTTTCGACACTTTCGAATTTTGGGACACCTCAGCGCAACTTGAAACTAGCATAGAAAGATGCGCCAAAAAATTCTGCGTCGAATGATGTATTGATCGTGTTGCGCCTAGGTGTCCCAATTTTACTATAACGCGATTTGTGTGCGGAAAATGCAGCAAAAACGACCCCGAAAAATACAAAATTGTTAGTTTTGAAAATACAAGACATGAATTTGCATGTAGTCGTCATGCTGAAGCCATTGCAAAAAAGAGCAAAAAGAAATTCATTTTATTTCGATGTCGCGGAATCGAACCCGGACCCTCCGCCTGGGAGCCCTGTGGCGCAATGAGGAGAGCGTCGGCGTGCCAATCCAGAGCTGGCGCCAGTTCAATCCCAGCCCCCTCTCAAAAGCCGAATTTCGTTTTGCTCTTTTTTGCAATGGCTTCAGCATGACGACTACATGCAAATTCATGTCTTGTATTTTCAAAACTAACAATTTTGTATTTTTCGGGGTCGTTTTTGCTGCATTTTCCGCACACAAATGCGTTATAGCAAAATTGGGATCACCTAGGCGCAACACGATCGAATACATCATTCCGACACATACACACCCTGGCGCATCTTTCTATACCAGCTCAACAGGCCCTGTGCGCTCCGGGGCAATTCGGAAAGTGTCAACCAAACTTATATGCACAACGATCATTACCGGTCATTTGGATTCACGGTAACTAAAAAATGATCCCCATGCCAAATTCTATTGACACACATTTTCGGCAGCGAATTTGGTTCGAAGTTTTCATATTATTTCGTGTCGGCAACTTCAACGCCCATTTAAACCACAAAAAACCTAATAAAACTTTCAAACTATGCCACCCTACCAGCTCGGCCACGCTCTTTCAGATGGGCATCATAAAAATAGGGTCGAAATAAACCAAAGTGCTTTGCCCGAGTGGCCCACAGACCTGCCTTTTAAGTTTCCAGACAACTATAGACATATACAAAAAATCCCCCGCCCCCCGATAATGCCAAAGAACCGATAAAGCCTTCAAACAATCCAAAAAACCAACATGGGAAAACCAGCGGGCGAGATCGGTGTTGCAATTCATGGCCCAACCCGTGCGAAGTGATCCCTCTTTCACGGCAATTCCCATGGCACATATCTTGCGGTTGTCGCCCACCCAGACCCCTAACGCCTGGATGAATGAGAGGAAAAATCTTATAACCTGTGTTATCCCGACTGCGCCCGACGCCCGAAATATTGAAATCCTCGCTGACACAGTCGATTACTGCCTGTTCCAGGGCATCAACGTAAGCCTAAATTCACATGCGTCCTTTCGATCTCAAAAACCCTACCCGTACGCCAAAACGACGGGGAGAAAAGCGCCGCAAATCTAGGATCGGGTAGACGACCAGCTGGCCCGGACCGTGGAAAGTGATTAGACCGCCGCGACTAGTTCTAAAAAAATGATGGAATACGGTCGAAAGGTACCTATGAAAATCTGCGCCCAAACTTTTGAGATGGTTCTTCCTCCCTCGTAGTCGGAATAAACCTTGGAGCGGAATACCGACTGTATAAACAGAGGAATGTTCGAGGCAGAGAAGATAATTGCTGAAAATGGCGAGATAAATTAGAATATTTACACGAAAGCGCGTCCAAAATAGAAAAAAACCCACCTAGAATAGGGTTTGTCCTTTGATTCGGCGACTTTCTTTACGTAATCCTCTTGGAGAAGGAGACCTTGAGCGTAGGAGACGAGACCGGGGCGGATTATTTGGATAGAAGAAAGACGTGAAGTGAGAAGCATTGCACGGCGACTAGGCCGATCTCTTCTTGGGTGGCTGTGCCGCAACGCTACGCAGGCGTCGTTCGCGAGTTCTGAAATAAATTGGACTACAATTTACAGAAAATTCAACCGACTTCGTGTACCACTCGTGCTTGGTGGTGTAGAAAATCTCCTTGAGCTCGGCGTTGACAGGAGCTCGTGGGCGTTGTTGGAGCGCGCCTTCCTTCAGTGGGCCTTCCTCCTAAAATTATTATTTTATTGAACCTCTCGGTGGAAATTGAGAAAGTAGTATCACCGTTCGCGCTATCACCATTGCAATTACCCAACTCAATCACCACCCACCTTATCAGGATTCAGCGCTTGCAAATCAATGGGCTTCGTGTGCTCGAAAGGGAACGTCGACGGTGGATGCCAGGCAACAACCAGGCCGTTAGCGCTCACAAACGTTTTCCTAGGCAGCAAGTTTTTTAAGACATATCTTTATCACCTCTTTATCTCCTCCGAAGCGAACCTAGCTACTGCACGTAGGCTCGAGCAAGCGCGAAGCATGTCATGGACTCAAAACCCTGTAACCTAGTAGTTTCTCGAGCTTGTCCCAATTCCCCTAAATCGTACCTAGTGACCATGATCAATGTGTTTTCCGACCAACAACTTCTTCAGATAAATAATAATTTATTGCGCCAATAACAATTGTTTTGTCAAACCCCACAAAAAGGGATACACTACCTGAAGCAAGAACAAGAAAATTTGTCAACAGATTGAGACGAAAACCACGTGATTTGGTGTGCGCTTTAAAACTAATTTACCCATAGAAAAGATCAAGTTAGGGGAATGCAGGCGGATAAAAACAGAACAACCCATAGAAAAACAATGACAGCGATTTGGCTGAAGATCACAGAGATGGGTGATACTTGTGGATTTGGTTGTGCGTTCCTGGGCGAGTGCGGCCTAGTCTTCCTTCCGTTTTACAGTGGGCGGCCAGGATGCTCTCGGCTCGGGTGCGTCCCTCAGCAAGCTAAAGCTCAGAAAGGTAACCCGATCATAAGCATAAAATACCTTTGCGGCGTGGGCCTTATCCTCCGGGCCGTCCTTGGTCTGACTCTTCTTCACGGCAGCCAAGTAGGTGGCTTCAGAATCCTTCATATGGCCGTCGTTCTGCGAGAGGCCAATAGCCTGGAAGAAATAAAGATACGCTGTGCCAGCTTCCCATAATAAAATAAAATTGTTTTTATAGCATTCGACGCCCCTTTTTTAAAGTATAGAAAGTTCATAAAAATATTAAAACTGTCTAAAGTTTTGATCATACGCCAATAACGTAGGATTTTGATATGATTGCTAGTTGACAAATTTAAAAAACAAATCCATTTAAATTTACCTTCTCGTAAAGGGATGGCTGCGACTTGAGGCTGGCCAGGGTGTTCGCAAGCTTCTCCGCAATTTCAGCACGAGTGGCATCTGCCTTGGCCTTGGCGGCAGCAAGGGCATCTTCGTCACGAGAAGCCT